ACAGTCCAGAGGCGGCTCGAGACTTGCAGTGACGTGACCTGCGTAGCATGGCGTGGGAACTGGAAAGTGCTGCAGTTCACCACAAGGTCTCGTTACTGGAATCGTTAAAGTCGGAGTTGATAAAACATTACGAAATGTGTAAAGTGGGGTCATCGTATTTCGCATCTCGCATTCAGCATACTCACCAGGTAATGCTCCAGTCCTGATTGTTCAACACCATTCGCGTTAGCATCGCAAGGCCAGAAAAGAAGAATGGCACTAGTCAAACATTAAAATCGTTTTTAATGTTTACCGTGCAGTGCTAGGCGTACACAAGCAGCAGTGGCCACATTAAATCAAGTTAAAGACACTGAAGATTTTCGAAGGAAAGGTGTACTAAATGCCACTGCACCGACGAATGAGAAGCCTGCTGACATCTCCTGACATTAACCATGACTAGCTTGGCTTATGTGTAGCCCGTATACTGGCAGCGGAGATGGAATTTTATAACTACGCCAGTCTGCGTCCAGCCGGTTCTCTATCTGTATGAGTTTGTTATGCATGATAACCGATGGATTGACTGATTGATACTCAGGCCTTCATCAGTGGCAATACCTTCGGTTGTGTCTGGAAAATTCTGCGTATATGGCAGGGGATGCTAGAGGGTTGGTGAAGATTTTTCGGTAGCACTTTTTTCCCCCTTGATCCTGAAGATGCCGTAGTTCTTGTGCTCTACCTCTAGCTTGCTGCGATAAGTTTATATCCTTTTTGGATATTACCCTCGGACAGCCGTGTTACTGCTGCTTTGGGGGCCCGGGTCGCGTTAATTGTCGTTACCCGCGACAGTACGACCGTCGAGGTGCATCTGTGGTGGTGCAGCCATGGTGCCTTGTGCGTGGATTAGTTTTAAGTGGTGGTCGGGTGTACGGCGTCTATCTTCCTCTCTTCCCTCAGACACTAGTACTGGATTAGGAAGACCGAAGTCGGGATCGTGTGTAGAAGAAGCGCAAAGGTAAAAGTCTTAGAGCAAACCTAGTACAGCATACTAAAGGCAAACGAACGCGTGTACAAGCCATGTCCAATCGGACCAATCAGATGGTGGGCTCAAGTAAGGGGGGACTTCATTGGGTTTGTGAATTATGCAGTTGGCGCGTCAGAGTTCGGCGCCCGATTGCAGCTGCACGGCCTCATCACGTGCATTGTGTGTGAACAAATCTGTCGTGTGCCGTTGGCACGACTGGCCAGGGCGGCGTTCACACGCACTTAAGCCGGGCCCTAACATTTGTTGCGCATGTTAACTGTCGGATAACGATTGGTGCCCATGTGTACTTCAATTGCAATACGTTTCGTTGCGTATGAAATATTTTGCTTATGCAGCAGAGCATGCCAGGTTTTTTGTGAAGATTTTTCAGTCGTAGTTCTTAACTACTTGATCCTGAAGATTCTGGATTCTGGTTCTTGTGCTGTCCCGCTCGCTTGTTGCAACACGTTTCTACCTTTTTTTAAAAAAATATATCGCCCCCGGACAGCCGTGTTTCTGCTTCTGCGCGACCTTTGTTATCAAAAGGCCAGACACATTAAGGATAACAATCAATATTTATCTCGAATGGCTTGGACAGATATGACATGAAATAGTTAGAGCTCGTGCTTCTGATCACTAGGTCGTGGGTTTGAGCCCCGCGTGGCACATCACCTAGGTTTGAGTGTGCCTGGCTGATGATAGCTAGTGAGCCAGAAACGGCTATTCTAGTCTCTCTTGTTTTTGTTCTCGATACTGTCAGGGTCCAAAAAATGAGGCCGAGGGCAAAGGCGGAGCGGGACAAAGAAGTTAACGTTAACGTTCGTCAACGAGTGTCAATGTCTGGAGACTTAAACCGGCAAGCCAACAAGCTCATGACTCGTTGACGCGTTGGATCAAAAAGTTCGCGTGTCATAGCTTCGAGTGGTGCTTTCTTTTGGGACTGGGTGTGACTGTTGAACGACGGCTAATAAGGCAGAAATGGTCCTTCCAGTCGGTAGGGTTTCCAGGTGGGGTCTTAAAAAGATCCTTATGTATTATAGCCTCCTACTTAAATGTTTTAAGTAGGTTGAATTATCCACTACCATCCTGTTTTCTATACCATATGCGTCGGCCCAGAATTGAACTGCAGAGTGGTCCTCCGAAGGTCACCGCATACCATAACCGCTTAA